TTTTTTTTTTTTTTTTTTTTGAAAAGCAAAAGGATATTATGATATTAATATGTGAGTACAAGGGGTACTCAAACCCGTAAATATCATCATGTGAATAAATCAGCAGTAAAAGAAGCTGATGTACATGGAATCACCAAAATCCTAAAACAAGCTTAGATGCTCTATTTCCTATTAATCATGCATCTCATTGGGTTAGAAATCCATTGTGTTAATGAAAAATTCTCAAGGTTTGAAAGAATTCTAATCCAATGAAATGATCGAATCTGCACCAGTTGAAATAGTTTATCATCATTGGGCTTCTTTTGTTGGAAAGTTGCTTCATTTCTGCTTAACCATATTGTCCACACTATGGCAAACCATAATATATTCCAGCTTTTTCTCAAAATTTTTGGACCTTTATACCAAATATGTTGGCGGAAGACGTCCATGCAAGTATTCTCGAGTGCATAATGTACCCCCCACCAATTGAGACATCTTGTCCATAGTTTAAAAGAGGTGTTGCAGGATAGAAACATGTGGTCGGTGTGTTCAGGAAATGAGTCGCACTATACACAATTAATATTTTGATTTCCATCTACAACCCCACGCTTTGCTAAATTAACCTTAGTAGGAAGTCTATCAAGAAGTAATTGCCAAGAGAATGCACTCACTTTTGATGGGACCTGTGCTTCCCATAGCTTTTTGTGTTCCAACAAACTAGTATCTTCTTTTCTTGTGAGCTGTTCATATGCTAATCTTGTAGTATATTTTCCTTTCGTGTCAATCCTCCAACTCCAAGTGTCCTCAGCATCTTGCATCAGCTTAATGTGATTTATGTCCTCAAGCATTTGCTGCATTTTGTCATCTTCCCACGCACGCAGTGGTCTTTTCCATTGAAAATTCCACGACCAACCTCCATTTGTCCATAAGGCCATATCTCGGATACTGCAACTTTTATCTATAGCCAATAAAAACAATCTAGGAAAAGCATTAGCAAGTGAAACCCCACCCGCCTATGCATCCTTCCCAAAACTAACCTTTCTCCCGTCACCCAAGTTTAGTTTAAAGTTCGGAGCTAACCATTCTTCCATATTCCCTGAGCCTACATTTATCTTGCATATATCCTTCCACCAAGGTGCGCCTACGCCCTTACCTTCCCTCAGCCATGATACCCAATTCCCTGCATCACCTCCATATTTTTCTTTTAATACCTTAGCCCACAAACCCTTCTCACCCTCTATCAATCTTGCCCACCATTTACCAAGTAAGAACATGTTAAAACATCTCAAATTTTTTACCCCTAATCCTCCCTCTTTTTTATTGTAGCATACCCTATCCCAAGATACCCATGTAATCTTTCTATTATCCTCTACACCTCCCCATAAGAAATTTCTTCTAATTTTATCAATTTCATGGATTACCTTTTTTGGGAGTAGATAGACCGACATCAAGAACATCGGAAGACTTGACAGCACAGAGTTGATGAGGGTAATCCTTCCTCCAAGAGATAAGAACCTTCCTTTCCATACTGAGAGCTTTCTTCTAAATGTCTCAATCAGGGGTTTCCATGTATCTACTCTCCTTGGATTTGCACCCATTGGCATTCCCAAGTATTTGTAGGGAAGGGAATCCATTTTACAATTTAGCATCCATGCCATTCTATTGATCCATTCTTCATTAGTATTGACTCCAATTAGAGAACTCTTCTTGTAATTTACTTTCAGGCTAGATACTAATTCAAATGCCCTCATGATGCATTTAACTGTCCAGATGTTCTTTTCAGCTGCCTCACCCATGAATATCGTATCATCTGCAAACTGTAGGTGACTAACTTGTAATTCCCCTTCTCCAATTTTTACTCCCTGCAGGAATCCTTTTGATACAACTTCTGTAGTTAATCCATTTAAGGCCTCAGCCACTATTAAGAATAGAAATGGCGATAGTGGATCCCCTTGACGGAGTCATCTAGACATTGAGAACTCCTTGTTAGTGCTTCCATTTACTACAACAGATACGGTGTTGGACTTCAAACATTCAGATATCCACCCTCTCCACACTACATCAAAGCCCATTTTCTCTATCATGTAATCCAGAAAGTGCCAACTCAGCTTATCATATGCCTTTTCGAAGTCGATTTTGAAAACAAAGCATTGGGACTTCTTTTTCCTCACCCCATCAATTGTTTCATTCACCACAACCACTCCATCAACCAATTGTCTACCCTCTATGAATGCAAATTGGTTTTCTCCTATGATTCCTTCCAATATCCTGTTGACTATATTTGCTAGTAATTTAGAAAGAATTTTGTATATGCAGCCTATTAGGGAGATGGGCCTATACTCCTCAATGCCTTGGGGGTTCTCTTTTTTTGGTATCAAAACAATAAAAGAGGCATTAGAACCCCTTACCAGTCTTCCATTTTTGTTAAAATCCATAAGAAACTCCATGACATCTTCTTTAATCACCTCCCATTCTGTCTTTAAGAATCCAAAATTAAAGCCATCTGGAGCTGGCGCTTTGGTGCTGTCGCAGTTCCAAACCGCTGCTTTAACTTCTTCTTCAGTGAAAGGTTGGGTGAGCATGCTTCTATCAGCGGCCGAGATAGTTCTGATATTTATCCCTTGTAGAGTTAGTCTTAACCATCCTTCATCTGTAAATAAGTTCTTGAAGTACTGCATTATGCCCTGTTTTATCTCATCCACTTGCTTCAACTCTCTGCCTTCTATGGATATTATATTAATTTCATTCTTGTGCCACCTCCCCTTGATGAACTTGTGGAAATAACTGGTATTTGCGTCTCTTGTTTTTAGCCAATTTCTCCACGCTTTCTGTTGGGCCATCTCTTCTTTCAGCTGTATATTCTTTAACAACTTAGCATAATGATTGCTCCTGGACATAAGATCATCATCACTCAAGCTACAAGTTTCTCCTTTTCCATCGATTCTGTTAATCTCCTTTCTGGCCACCTCAATTTTTCTATCCACTTCCTGTAGAGAAGACTTTGACCACACCTGAAGAAAATTCTTCATCATCTTCAATTTCTCCTTAACAATGAAACCACCCCATCCCTGAACTTTAAATTCTTTCCATTTTGTTGTCACCATATCTTTAAATCCAAGAGTATGTAGCCAGGCATTGAAAAACTTGAATGGTTTTGGTCCCTAGTTCCATGTCTCATTTTTCACCAATATAGGGCAATGATCTGACAACAATCTAATGAGACCCCATTGCTTCAAATTAGGCCATTTCCTTAGCCAATCATCATTGAACAAGAATCTATCCAAGCGACTCATACATTGACCATTTGGTTGATACCATGTGTATTTCCTTCCCAACAATGGTAAATCTATCAAACCATTATTCATAATAAATTGTTCAAATTCCTTCACTTCTCTCCTTACACTCTTACCCCCCTTCCTTTCCTGCATACTTCTAATAGCACTAAAGTCCCCCCCTATGCACCAACACCCCATGTTCTTACTAATCAATTGTTCAAGTTCTCTCTAGACCCTTCTCTTCCTCTCTAGATCACAAGGGGAATACACATTACACAAAAAGCATGGTATAGCATCAAGGCCCCATAACCCATGAATCCTAAGGAATCCCTCTCCTTCAAAAACACTTATTGTCTTTAACACTTCACTGTTCCATATGATAAGTAATCCTCCAGATGCTCCCAAGGATGGCTTTGCCACCCAATCCATATTGTCCGAATCCCATAACCTTCTACAATATCTCTTGTCAACAGATTCTACTTTTGTTTCTTATAAAAATAGAGCCTCCACTCTATGTTTGGTCACTAACTCACGAACCTCTCTCTTTTTCCTGCAACCCCCTAACCCCCTAATGTTTAAAGATAGCAAAATCATGGGGGATTAGCAATCACCTAATTTCTAGTGGATGTTGTTGCCATATCTTTCTTTCTTCTTTTCTTGTCTCTCTGCTCCATCTCTTTAAGCTTTCTGATTATCAACAGCTTATCCCCTTCCATAGAAACCCCCAATTCCTTGATACCACACCATAATGGTTCTGAGTCCTTGATTTTGCTCTTCGCTCTGATCCCCTTATTGCAATTTTGGATATTATTGTCATTTATTGAGTCATTTGCCATTGAACCTGCTGGATCTGCCTCAAATATGATCTGTTGCTTCATTTTTTCCATCACCAATCTATTCCCCTTCTTCTTCTTCTGTGTTAGGAAGCCCACAAGGCCATCGGATTGTTTATACACCACTTGAAATGACTTCACTCTCTGTTTCTTCTTCTTGTTCTTTTTTCCTTCTAAAACTCTTGCCCATTCCGGCAAATCCCCTTCGTCATAATCTAGATTGTCCCAAAAAGAGTTTGAGTTCGCTGCTTCTATTCTCACGTGTTTGCCCTCCTCTGTTCTTTCATCAATTTGTCTATCATTCGGTGCTGGGCTTATTGCTTTAAGACTTATACCACTAGCTGTTGGCCCATGTGTTTCCTTACTTGAGTCCAGCTCATTTTCCAACACATCCGGCCCGTTACCCGTTGCTTTTTTGCCTGTTGCACCTTTTGAAAATTTCTCCCACTCTATCTCTCTCATTATCCCTATTTTGAAATTATGGCTGTTCCCAATGTTTTCTCTACAAATTTTCGTCTCCAGCACCTCCTGTCTCTCATCCTTCTCGAGCCCATCACACATTAAATGCTTGCTTGTAATCCCTTCCAAACCACCCGTTATGTTCACTTCTGCCTCATCTTGCTTTTCGGTTATTCCCCCTGTCACAGAGCCTTCTTCTTCTGCCACTTCGTCAGAGTCTTCTTTTCCATGTTGTTGACCCATCAACATAACAGCTAATGTGTCACCTACTGATGATGCCACCACATCCGTGTGTCTCACCTCATCTTGCACATTTGTCTCCTGCACTCCTAGTTGGATTGCCCTGTCATCTTTTTCTTCATCTCCCCTATTTTGTGCGGCTCCCAATTCGATCATGCTAAGATTTGTATCTGTAATACCCCAAAATTTTCTAGAACAATTAAGTGTGAGTTAGGGACCTAATTGTGAGAAAATAATATTGTTGAGCTTAATCATCAAAATTTCAAATTTGAGGAACTTAAAAGAGAAAGGAATTGGATAAGGTCGGCTGATTTTTTTTCCTTCTTTCTTCTTCCTCAGCTGCGCGTTCTGCTCTTCTTTTTCTCCCCTGCACCGAACAAGAAACCCAGCCAAGCCCGACAACACCCTTTGAGAAACAGTAAAAAGCTCGATCTTTTTCCCTTCTTTTCTTGTTCAAGAACAAGATTTAAAACTTAGAAATCTTCCCCTCTGCAGAAATTTCCAGATCTGCTCTGCTCTACTCTATTCCTTCCGTTTGCTGCTCTGCTATGTGTGTGGGTGTGAATTTTCCAAAATTTCGGTAAGAAAGCAGCCACCAATTCCTCTATTCTTCCTTGAATTGGCTTGGGTTTACTCTAATTTCTTTTGGTTTCTCCAATTTTTGTTAGATCCCTTGAAATTCTCCTTCATTCCCGTCAGCTTCCCCCAAACTGCAGTTTCGATTTTGCTTGCTGAAATTCTGGTATGTGACAACTCCATCTAAGTCCAAATTACCCCTTTAGTTGTTGAATTTAGTCCATTTAATTACTACCCCATGTGCTGTCCGAATTTTGTTGAAATAAGGGGATGAATTCCGGTAGCATTAGAACAAATTTAAGCATTAATTCAAGTAGAATTTATGTGATTGAGTGTTAATTGGCTGCTGTGAGATTCTGGAGAAAAATCCTATGAATTAGCTATTGTTTTGCCAAGGCCGGTTCCTCCCTATTGTCCAAGAAATTGGAGAATTTTGTATATGTGTGTTATGTACATATATATAAATGCACAATCTAATTTTTGTGCTCAATTTCAGATAGAAGAAAAATAAGAATAAATAAATGAGTAAAGAAAATAAGATTTGTTTATGGGATTAATGGCTGGCAACAATAAGAGGGTTTAAATGTTAGTTTATATTGAGAATAATTGAGATATCCGGTTATATGGTTATTAATTTTGGAATATTTTGGTTAGGTTCTTGATTGTTCTGTCACCCTAGCACTTGGAGTGAGTTTTCTGTGTTATGTGACTGAGGTAAGTAAAAGTATGGTAATGCCTTTGGATTTAAGATAAAGGTTTTTGAAAGCATATTTTTGATGGTTTTTGAAATGGTGACGGGACTAAACATGTTTTACACAAACATGAGCATGATTGGTTTCAAATGAAATTATTATCATTTTCACTGAGTTAAGCATGCTTACTTGGAGTTTACTTAACTGCCCTGATGATCTGAAAATTATTTATAAATTATGATTTTTCTGTTAAATTTTGCCTGGTTTTGTCTCTAATATAGTCATGATTACTGACGCTTGCTAGTAGGAGTTTGCAAATGCTAGTACATGTCGACATGTATATCGATAGGACCGGTTCATTTTGTAATCCTATCAATGGGATAATACATTGGTTATTACTGACACCTGCCAGTGGGAGTTTGTTAAACACTGGCCATGACTTATAGATGAGACTACTACTAAATCTTATTCTGCATTAACGGTTCATCATTGAACGCTTTGTTATGTTAAATTGTTTATCAGACATGCTTAAATTTTACTTGTGAGCTATCCATATTTTTACTTACTGAGATATTTTATCTCATAGTTTTCCTTGTTCATCATTTCAGGTAGTGAGATTCGAGGCACGGTTAACCAGGGGGAGTGACGAGCTAGAAGGCTAGTCAATATTTTGGACTTAGATCCTTTTTGGGATTAGGCCGTTAGCCACACATGCTTGTCATAGATATGAAATGATAAATCAATCGGTTTTTTTTTTTTTTTTTTGTATATTGAGTTTTCCTTGGTTATAGTCATGACTGTTTTATAAACTTTTGTACATCTGGATTAGTAAATTTTTGGTAATTGAAAGCTTGATAAACCGAGTTTTTTTATTTAAGTTATGTGAATTGGTAATTATGAACACAATAAGTTCCGAGCCTTGTGCATTTGTGGGACTCGTTCACGAGTGCACGGTGTCTATTTCGCTCTTGGTTTTGGGGCGTGATGGTATCCTCAAAGCCTTCTGTCGAATATTCCTTATCCTTTTCACTTCCTTCATTAATGTTAAAATCTGACTCCTTACATATAGCCCATTGCTGGATTCCTCTTCAGAGAATTTAACTCTAAACATGACTCCATTAATCTTTACAAATAAGGATTTTGAGATGGGTTCCATTATGGATGTTGATATAAGAAATCTAGCAACGTCAAGACGTATTTTCTTGCTAGTGCTATCATCCACCGAGATAAAAGTGCCCCAAAGGTTTCCAAAGGATTGGAAGTATTCTAGCTTCCATGCATGCAGAGGAAGTCCCAAGCATCTAATCCATGTGAACTTCTCTGTTGCCACCATGGTTTGTGACCATGGTTTGATTTCCTCAAACCAATTTCCTAGCCAATCTTGGCCATTTTTTATCATCTCCTTTAAGTCTTCATAATCGTGTCCTTCCAACAGTACTAGCCTTCCTCCCATAGCTCTAATCTTGCAAAAGAAGACTCCCTCCATGTAGAATTTCTCCTGCAAAGTTGGGATCAAAGTTATCAAGTGAACAGTCCCAACGAAACATCTCTCCAGCCACCGATACTCTTCCTTATTAACATTGAACTCCATTCCTATCCATGCTTGGGGTCGTGTTTTTGGCTTCCATCTCCATTTTCTTTGCTCGCTTGATTTGGAATTTGTAGCTAGACCCCATTTTCTTGCTTCATGGAACCGTCCCCTTCTCATCCCATATTCCTTGTTTTCTACAACCTTTCCTCTAACTGCATCCGCATAAGTCATTTTCTTTTGCCATTCTGCAGTCACTGCACTCGTCCCTCTTGTCATATTTCCTAAGCTCTTGTGTTGTTGATTTTCATGCCATTTTTTCTCAAACCATGGCTTATTGGCCTGAAACTTGATTCCTGCATTTTGGATCTGGTTCAGCTTTCGTTCCAGTTCGCCAGCATCTTTCACTTCCAAGAACCTCACAAACTCGAATCTCTTTCCCAATCTATCTCTCTTCTTAGGGCATTCTATTTCGATTACCTTGCCCTTGTCCAGTTTGTTGAAAGTACTCCACATCTGTTCGAATGTCTAATCTTCCAGAAAGTTTGTGAAGAAGAATGGAGTTGCTTGATTGTAGATCTTCTTCTCAAAACCCCCATAATATTGTGCCTCCCTATCCTTTCTCTTTGGCTGGGTGCCCTCATAACGCTGTGCTGTCCGCTGTCCTCGTGCTCTGCTGTCGATCTTTCTTTCCCAATCTCGCCCTTTCTCTATCGCTCTTCCTCTCATCCTCTCTCTCCTATTTTGTACACAAATCTTGTCGTTAACAAATGTGGATAGCAAATATATACAAATAAATTCACAAGTTCATAACTACATGTCTCATGATTAAGCTTGTGAATAGTCGAATCAAGTTCCTTAAAACTTAACTTTTTAAAGGGTTTTTTTTTTTTTTTCGCCACCGACAAGGAGTTTAAGGGTTGGTTTGCGTGCGCGAAACCAATAGGGGTTAGTTTGCCATTGCTAAAAAGTTGAGGGGGTAATATACATCTGCATGGTTCACCTTAAAGACACTTTAGATGCACGTCTAAAGGCAATACCGTGTAAGCCATTCAACAAACAGCGTCACAATGCTTCGTTAGCAGAGGGGCTAATTTGCTTCAATCTTGGAGTTCAAGGGCTTATTTTTCTGTTTTTAGTTTAGGAGCTAGTTGTTTATTGTTGGCAAAGTTTAGGGGATTAAAAAGGGTTTTTGCCTACAATAAAGCAAGAAGCCGCTACAAAAGAATGAGTACTAACAAAACTGTGTCAAAATATACAGATGTGTAACTACTCTACAAGATTAGCCTTGCAATACTGTCTCAAACCCATTGACATGCAATGGCCATAGGCAAATGGGAGGATCTTGGCCAAGCAAAACATAGCATATTGCACCTAATATCAAAGTGAACTACGTAGACAATAACATTGTAATTAATTCTTAAAAATTTTTTGGTAAATTTTCTCTTGTTCCTCTCCATCCAAATATGATAAGTTGCAACATTCTATGCTAATGTGATCAAAACACATTATAAGGATTTCTTGTTTTCTAACTCCTTTGATGAAATTCAATAAAGAAATAAAGTAAAATAATCAAGAGAATGTAGTGCTGGTTCAAAATTCATCAAATCACGATCTAATAAAATTTGAATTACTTTTGGGCTTGTGGGCTTGTCGGTGAGTGTGATTTTCTGTGTTTGGGATTACAATTTTGATGATTTTATTGTAAAGACTGGGAGGTTAAATGGGCAATGCCTCCACCAATGGAAGACGATTTTCTGGAGAGGGGGATTGAGGCATAGTTGGTTCGCGAAGATGAAGAAAAACAACAAAATTTAAGAAAGGGCATAATGGTCAAATGATTAAAGAAGAAAGGGGTCTGGTGTTAACCATTGTTTTAAAAATCATATCAAACTAGTCGGTTGAATCAGTCAGATCGATACCAATAACATAATATGCCGAGTAAGTACTTGAAACCGGTAAGAGATTCAACTGTTTAAAACCAACAAAATCGTTTGAATTGGTGTAAACCATTAAATCATTCAACCAAACAATTAAAGTTTCAGGAAAGATTCCTTTAGATTTGCTACCTCCAAGTTTCAAACACGGAACTTCAAGGAGATTTTTAATTACATTTACCACTAGGACGTCACCTTAAGAATTGATATGATTTGCATACAATTTTATTTATTTTATATTTAAGAAGAAAGAATAGAATCCCCTTAAGCAAAATTAAAGTTCCTCCCACTAATATGGAAAGAAATATTGTTGTCTTTTGTATTGAAACTAATATAAAATTTATCTAATTTACATTTTAAAAATATAGATTAAGAATGTAATAAATATAATTTTTTATAACTAATTTATATAAAAATTATAAAAATTGATATTTATTTTAATACTATTCACACGTAAATAATTTTAATGCTTAATTAATTAATTTAAAATCAATTTTTATAATTTTGTATATAAATTAATTAAAAATATATTTATTTCACCTTTAACATGTGAAATAGATCATCAATATATTATAAGTTAAAAACATAATAATATAAATTTTTATATTTTTTTATAATTAATATATAAAAAATTATAAAAATTAACATTTATATATATGATTTTAATTGATTAATTAATTAATTTAAAGACAACCTTTATAATTTTCTATATAAATTAAATAAAAAATTACATTTATTATATTTCTAATCTATGTACAAGAAAAATTATTAATATATTATAAATTATAAACTAAAAACATAATAATCAAATTTTAACATCCACAACACTCGAACCTGTTGCCTCCCTTATACTTAGACAAGGCAACATAACATTAGAATCACCGTTTGCTTTGCATAAAATTTTATTTATTCATATTCAAATGAATTTGTGGTTTAAATATTTTAACAAATTAAACCGATCAAACCACAGACTAGAGGTCAAAATAGTTTGATCTTCAAGTCGATTTTCAAAACACTGGTGTTAACCTTAGGTTGTAGCAATAGCGTCACCCACAATATTTCTACTTTTAAATATGAATAGGCTTCTCTTTTGTGTTATACTAAATTACAAAATAAAAATTTATGTATTAGAGGTTTTATAAAAAGTTTTATATTTTGCAGTTGGAACAATAACATATTTTTTTGTTAAAATATTCTTCTTATTAATTAACCAAGGGATTAGTTATAGAGAGTGTATTTGAGTTGTTAAAGATTTTGAGATTTTAAACTAAAGATTTTAGGTACAAATCATTAACTTAGGTGGGAAAGAATTACGGAAAGATAAAAGTTATTTTTTATTGAGTTTGATTTTTTTAGCTTAAATTATATATTAAAAATACAATTTTAACACTAAAATTATCAAATTACAATTAATGAATAAACATACAAAAAAAGTTTCATTAAAGATATTTTTATAATTTTAATGTTTGAACTATATTTTTAATATAAAATGTAACCTAAATTTTTTTTCTTTATTATATTGTAAAATATAATGCAATCGTTGTTGGTATAAAAAATTATTAAATTAATCGAGGAATATGGCCAAAAGATTATAAGAACCCAAAAATAGACATTGAAATAGAGGAAAAGCGTGTGAAGAAACACGTTAATTATAAGCAAGCTTCTCTAATGACTTAGTAGACTTATTTTGGGAAAACATAAAAGCGACTCCCTCCATTTATATTTTTAGGAGACTTATGTTGTTTTTTAAATAATTTTTTAAATATAAATTTTAAATAAAAATTTAATAATTTATATAAATAAGAATTAAAAAATTTTAAGTACTTTTATTTGATAAGAAAAGTTAATTATTATTTATATAATATTTTAAATTTTTATTTGAAATTTATATCTAAAAAATTAAAAAGTTTAATTAGTTCTATTAAAAATCAATTGATGGAGTATTTGCTATAAAAAAATTATTCATTTCTTAAAATTTTGTTAAAAAATTTTAAAAATTATCTTTTAAAATAAGTTTTAAGTAAGTTTTGAAAAAATTTAACCATATAGTTTTTTCAAAATTTACTTAAACTCATTTAAAAAATTAATTTTAAATGTTTCCCTCTAATAAAATTTTAAATTTATAAGAGAGAATAATAGTTTTAAAGCAAGTGTTTTTTAAACTTTGTTGACCACCATTAATTGTCTTTCTTTTTTTATTTTTTAAATAAATAAATATTCTTTTCTTGTTTAACTCTATTATTAATTATTTATTTTAATTATATATCGTATCATAAAAAATATCTTTCTATCTTTTAAGTTTTTTTAAAATAAATAAATACACAAATTATTTCTAAATTTTTACTTAAAATATAAAAAATAATAATTTTAAAATAAAAAATATCAATTATTTTAATAATTAAATTAATAAAATATCAATTAAAACAAGGTGATCCTAACAATAATATGTGCAATTTACTTTTAAAAATTCTCTCTTCTATATAGAAGTGGGCCATTGGCCATGAAGATATTCTACCACACAATGGGGATACCAGCTAATGTGGTATCCCCATCCAATAAGAGGATCACATATAATTAGATTAATGTACCTTATCATTCAACAAATATAACTCGCTAAATTTCTCTTAATGAAAAAAGTTTCTATTAGATGCTCAAAGCTTATGTCTCCTCTCCATCTACAATATACTCTTTCACCTCCTCAACTCTTCAGTTTTCTATCTTCCCCAAATCTCCCATTTACTCTGCATAATTTCTCATCCATGACATCAAATGGAAACAATAAATCATTTTTAATATTTTGCCATTCATCAATTGTGCCCTTTTTAATCAACTCTTAGTCACATTAACTCTAAACTAATTTACAATCGAGTCGCATCAAAATTAATAAAAGGAAGCGATAAGCGGATAAAAGAAAGCTCTCTCAACACCTAAATCAAACTTAAAATCTTATTTAAAAGAATTCAAACTCCTATTCAGAACAGTTGATGAAATTTTAGCATGATTGGAATAGAAGAAGGTGTCTGAAACCAAAAAAATCCAAAAAAAAAGTCAAAGATGCTAGGATTTCCACTTTGAATCCCTTGAAAAAAAGGAAAAAAGATTTAGAAGATGCTGGAATTTTGAAGGATTGAACATTACCCAAAAAATTAAGTTAGCATAAAAATGATTTCCATTTCTTGATGACCCCAACCATCAATATCAATTTAATTACCAAAGTTTTACATCTTTTTCTTGCCTAGAATGAAGATTTGGAGAGAAATTGATGGAGTAGGCAGATGAATTTACAAAGTAATTTGATGTATTAGGCTTGGAAAAAGGAGATTAAGGCAAAAAAGAGAAGGGTGAAGGCAAGCAAACGGTAGAAAAAGGAGGAAGGCACGTTATGTTGAGTATTTTGTGGCCCACAACATAATTGCGTGTCAACCTATAATTAATTTGGAACACATCCAACGTGGTCTCACCGTCACATAATAGATTTTCTCGTTGGCCACGTTCATTTCGATAAAAACCTACTTTTAGCTGTTTATTTTATTAGATTTGTAAGTTTTAGTTCTCCACCTTATACTATGACACTTTTAACCCCTTACCTATTAGAATTAAAGAAAATGACCCCCACTTATAATATTTTGTTAGTTTTGTTAATTGACTTTTAACTCTATTAATTGACTATTAGTTAACTGTTAGTTGGTAAAAATTTACTTTCAACTAATAGAATTAACAGTCAATTAACAGAACTAACGAAATATTATAAAGTGATGGTTCTTTTCTTCAATTCTAATAGGTAAGGGGTTAAAAGTGTCATAGTATAAGGTAAGGAATTAAAACTTACAAATTTAATAAGATAAAGGGCTAAAAAGTAGGTTTTTACGGTTAATTTCTCTGGGACTCCCAATTTTATCGTTAACTACATAACAAACATGGAGAAACATTGATGAAATTAGTATAAATTAAACCAGCCTTTATGTTGATAAGAACAATAAGAACAGGATGAAACTTTTTGAACCAAAATTTGAGACCACATTAAAAATATTAAATGATAAATTTTATAGGAAAAAAATGTTCTACATGTCATTTTCTTTTTTCTTTTTTTTTTCTTTTGAGAATATATCTAAAAACTTATATTTTGATTTATATTTTCAAATACCAACTATTGAATTAAAAATTCTATTCATATAAATCATACATGTAAATTTCCATGTTGATCTAATAGTTTAATCACTTTGTTAACTATAAGAAATTTAACACAATTAAATATATATTAATAAATAGAGTTATTTTGATTAATGAATTATAAATGTTAGATCAATATAAAAATTAATATGCATGATTCATATAAATATAATTTTCAATTTCACAGTCAGTTTTTAAAAATATTAATTAAAAATTACATTTTGAGATAGGTCTTTCAAAAACAATTTTAGAAAGATGACTTATTCTACACTAATCTCATTTTATATTATTTAATATAATGATTAATTCTTTTAATTTTTTTAAAATTTAGGATATCGAGTTATAATAAATTAAATAAACTACATACTTAATATTAGGGGTGGGCACTATTCAGTTCTAACCGAACTAACCGAATTTTTGAACTTGAAATAACCGAAAAAAATCATCAAATTCGGATTTCAATTCGGGTGGCATTAATTCAATTCATAACCGAAATAATTCGGGTACAATTTTCGATTTAAATTTTGATAATCGAATAACTGAACAGTGCATCCTATCCAACCTGAAATAACAGAAATATTAAAAGAGTATAAATAGTCATTTAGGGTTTTTTTTTTCTTTTTTCATCGACTCATTTTCTGCCTTTCCCTTTTCATTCTCCCCGCTTCTCCTCTAAAACAGTGTTTTAAAAACCAACCTGGAGGTCAAAATGTTTTGACCTCTGGTTTTCGGTTTAACCGGTTTAACCAGTTCAACCGTTCAAACCACCGGGTCAATCAAATGAATAAATATAATGTTGTGTAGCACTTTGACAGAGCTGGTGCGATGGATCAACTGGTTTGTAACCTTGCTTATTGTGGAGGAGGCACAAGTTCGAGCATGCTCCATGTTAAAATGTATGTAGAGTGTTTCTAAATTTTTAATGGGTTTTTAAATATATAAAATGTATAATATATGTAATTTTTTAATTAATTTATATAAAAAATATAAAAATTGACTTTAAATTAATTAATTAATCAATTAAAAGCATCTATGTAAATATTAATTTTATAAGTTTTTATTTAAATTA